TACCGCCGCGCGATTCCACCACCAGTTTCGGAAACTTCTATGGGAACGAAACTGGATTGATCTTTCACCGTCGTTTTTCGCGGTGAAGCTACATTTTTCGGCCAAAACGACACGAAAACACGGAAACGGTTTTATCCCCGGTATAAGACGGACGTGTCGTTGTTGCTTTCAATCATTTGAAAACCTTTGTGCTTTCCAACCGCGTTCCAAATTTTTCCATTTCCAATCATCACGGGAATCGCTTAACGAGCCAAAATTCATGCCAAAATTCATGCCAAAATTCATGCCAAAATTCGTACTCGGCCGTCGCGCGGTAAAACATACTTGAACTTTACGCGCAACATTGCGCATCGCGTTTGGAAATATCGTCGATTGTTATTTTCCCCGTGGCGGGGTGGAGATTCAATCGGGACAGTGGTCAGGCCATTCGCGAGAGAATATAAATTTCGAAGGGTTGAGCGCTCTTTTTGGTGCTCTCGTGTGTTCTTTTATATTCAACGTGTAACAGTTGCACGTAATGCTTGCATGTTACGCTAGGATGGATGTAGGTGCGAGTACGTCGAAACGAATGGCGGCATGCGGTATGCGGGATCTCGCGGAGGAGCGCGATTCTTTTGGATTGATTAATACCCGGCCACCCTTCGAAACTGTTTTGCGACCCTTTTTCTCTCTCGGCAGGGCAACTCGTTTCGCGACGACAGACTCATCTCCGATTTTATGCCTCGTTTGAGGGCGCACCGGCTAACCCCTGCCTCTCCTTTGCTTCGCTCCCTTCAGGACACGCCAGGACGGACCCTCGTTGCAACGCCGCCGCCCGCCATGAAAATCACAGGCCACGAGACTCGCGGGGAATGCTCTATTTGGTATTTAAATAAGCGTACGTGTACGCTCGCCTTGTCCCGTAACCGTATGGGACAAGTTCACTGAGCTTCTTTTCGGGAAAACCGGTTGGGGGACCCTGTCCCTTCGATATTTATCACGAGGGAAAGGGCCCGGTCAATTATACCATGGCTGGTAAATATGCTAATCCGAATGACGCCAACCATGTATCCAAAAATAAAAACAATCGTAAAAGCCATAAACGCCGACACGTGCGTTTCTCTACTTCGATCGATAGATAACGCGTTATCGATAGATAACCTGTGCGTTTTATATCAGTGTTTTATTTTAAGTTATTTTAGGAACATGTTAACAGATAAATACATTGGCGCACAAAAGTGTTTGGAGACCCATCTTAAAAAGCTTTCATGTTCACATTATATGAGTCATATAAAACATTTTGAAATTTCATTAGCACTATAATGGGACACAACTGTCATGACGAAATGGTGTAAGTCATATTCTGTTTCCATACAATAGCGTTTTATATCTATTATCATAAAAAAAAACATTATATTTTTTCTAATAACATTTAGCATTTCTAATAACATGTTTTCTAAACATTGTGCGTAATAAAGTTGCTACTTAATTAATTATTATGAAACTAAAGGGATGACACCTGTGAAAGTTGTAACACGTAACGACTATATTCAAATTTCTGAAAATCTTGACTTACACCACTATAATTTTTAAAACCATGTACAAAACAAAGAGTGACTTGTAAAATTCTAGCGAGACGAAAAATTGTGCTGACTTTATAGTTTTCTTTCAGGATAATTCAAGTGCACAGCAAAATGAGGAGAAGCTATAGAACCTACTCGGGGAAACTTTCGTTACAACGCTATCGTGTAAGGATATAATTTTCGTGTCCGGTGAATGCATGCTTCGAAAAGCGGGACAAATTCTTCGCCAGCAAAGAACACGAGCAGCTTACTTTTCGTCTTTGGTTCGAAATAAGTTTCCGTTCTTGTTATTAAGACCGCGGAAGCAATAAGAACAGCAAAGCGAAGCGCGAGAAGTTTACCTGCGTTGCTTGTTAAAAACGTACCGATGAACAGATTATAAGAGGTCATGGGAGCCGATCGATTTCTTGTGTGCGTAGTGTTGGAAAAGAATAGGTGAACGTTCCATGAGAACGTAGAGAAAAAAAAAAAAAGAATATCAGAATGAAAGAACGGTTGGTCGATCTGTTCGAAAACAGGAGGAGAAACGATATCGTGCGAGTGGTTAATTCAGCGATTTCACCGATAACGGAAACCCTTGAAAATAAAGTTGCTAGCTTTTCTGGGGAGACACGACCAAGTCAATATTGTCTTACCGTGCTAAGCGCGCTAAAGTACACCGTGAGAGCTGTGCCGTGCAGGAAACTTTATATATCTCAGTGCGTAGTTGCGAACAAACTTGACAGAATCCAACAATAAGGCAAAGTTCCGTCTCTTCGTTGTCTCCTTCTTCAGCCTTGACTAAAAATAAATACACCGTAACCTCATCGGCTGCGTCCCCGACGAAAAGAGACCCTGTGTCGTCCGATCAACTGCAGCCACGCATCATTTTCAACGACAAGAAAAAAATAGCCACAACACCCAAATCCCTAAATCCATTGCTTGAAATATGTCTTGCTCTGAAACGAAGACGATTACGCAACGTTTCTCTGATTCGTTGTGAGCAACGTGATGTAATCGGTACACTCGTAGAAAGTATTTTGGTATTTCGTAGGAACTGAGGGACTATTGTCAAACTATTTTCACTATAATCTTTGGAAAAAAGACACGTGTGTTGAGAAAACACGGCGTTAAACATACCGTTCTCTTTTAGCCCGCTTTCGCGATAAGAGCATTATTTTCTGAGATTCATGCAATGCACGGAATAAAATATTTTTCTGTATAAGAGAGGATTTTTCATGAAGATTTCATTATTAATGAAAATTTATGGTATTTTCAACAATAGGTACTTTATTGTACGGTAAAAGATATTAATATAGTTTTACTCCATAATATATTCTTTGGAATATCGAAATGCTCACATGTAGATGGTAACGTATGTTTCAAATTTCAACATTGTTATAAAAAATACTATCGTATTCGGAATTTTTGTCTGGACTAATCTCATATAAGATTAAACCGATCGTGTCTAGCCACTAAAAATCTTTAATTGTTAAAGTAAGGAATCTTTTCGACAATGATACTAGTCGCCTAACGACTCGAACGTTGTTCCAAGATTGTAAATATCGCGTTAATCGAGTGAGCTTAAATTCGAACGTAATCCAGAAGAGTTCGCGCATTTTATAGTAATGTTGCTACGGTCGAGAGTTTGTCGCGTTCTCCTCGAAGGCAATAGAATCTGGCGGGACTTTTCAGAAGTATGTAACTTTCAGTGACTCGACTATGGCCAGGAATAAAGTCTCAAGTATCCGGTACTCGACTATAGCCGTAGAACCCCGCTGCGATAAAATCTAATGAGACGTCGGAGAACTCGAGAATCCCACGAAGAACGAAATTACAGATTCTCTACCCTATATTTTGTCCGCCTAACGTTCGACGTCCAATCTTTTATTAACGCCCTGCCCGAAATCGATTTTTCAATTCCACCTAGACTCCAAGCGCGGCTCTCATGTGACGCAATCGCCTCTCTTTCGAGAAATGTTAATCTACGATAGTGGTATCTCGATCAATGCGCCGTTTAACTCACTCTCAGATCCGCGGAGACCGTTCGAGGTCCCCTTGAAAGACGTTCAGTCAAAGCAGACTGATTGCATTTGTTTCTCAGACGCAATCCTCCCATCTTAAAAATTGCATTCAAGATGGAATACGTGGAACATAGCCTGCTGGTTTATTCTATATAATATATATAAATCCTAGAATATTCTACTCTCATGCTACAACCGAGCCGATTTTGCCGAGCAAAATAAGTCAATTGCATCTTTTTCATTCGTCTTCCGGATATAATAATCTCTTTACTTGTAAATTGAAGCAATGAACGATTTTTTTTTTTATTAATGAATCATTCCTATTAGAAATATATAATATTCGTCCATGCCAGAACTAAAATTAAATCAGTCTTACTAAAATTACTAATCCTATAATTGCAAAAGTTTATGGTTTAATAGATTAATATCACAGCATTCTTATTTAATGTTACGGGAGAAAAGGACGCGTCTTTTGCGAGACGATAAGGGAGAACAGAAGAGAATAGAGAATGCGCCCGCATGATATATCGCTTTCCTTTGTCGAATGTTCTCCGTGCACGGCTAGCCGGCGTATCGTTCACATTAGCCTCTTTACGATCGATTAATTCCTCGGCTGCGGAACAAAACATCTCGCCGTGTGAACGATCTACAAAGTCGCCGGCGGCGCTCTGTCACGGGCTTTGTCGACGCGTTTAGACGGCAAAGTGCGCGATAAAAATACCTCCATAAAAACTACGATATCTCGCCCAACAATTACCACTGGCGGTCGATCTCTTCGACTGTGGCTCTGATTCGTAAGTAAGCCTAACCTAACGTAACTTCGTAATACCGACCCTAATCAAATGGAATTTACACGCGCGAATACGGTCAATCGTTCGGTGAATCGAGCTTAAAACAATTCAAGCCGTAAGTAGAGTGAATTAGCTCGAACGAGACGACACCTCTCGTACGAGTAGCGAAGATGTCAATGGTCGTGTTCCTAGTTTACACGAGCGCCGTGCGAATTATCGGGAGCTGGAGAGGCTGCGATTCTCGAATTAACGAGCCTGGCTCGCGTACTAATGAAAACGTACAGTTAAATTAGCAGCATCGACCATTTGGTCGTACGCCAACCGGGTAATTTACAAGTACAATAATTTCGGTGCAAAGTTCAAGCCGGGATTAGTGGAGAAAGCCCGCGATGGCTTTAACGAGTCGTGTTTACCAAAACAAGAGAACAACGGAGAAAGTGTTTACTTACTTTTCGAGGATCGGCACGCGCGATATCGACGAACATCCGCGAGCAAGATAACCTTATTGATGATTCCAGGGAGTAGAAATGAATCTGGTATAGAAGGCCCAGGGTAGAATAGCCAAACAAGGTAAACGGCGACAAAAAGCACCAAAATAAACAAACGTTGATCGTCACGTGGCACACAGAGATACGCACAATGGGAATCCAGTGACCGATTCTCTTCCACGAATAAACAATACACTGTGAACGTACGGCGGCCGATCAACAACGTTCCTTTCGCTCTCGTTTGCCTTTTACCTCCGTTTACTCCGCGCACTGTCGAACACGAATCACTTTTTGACGTGTTTTCTTATTCCTTGTTGACGACTGGAAACCGTAGTCCAAACAAGCCAGATCGTTGCTGATATTTTGGCGGGTTTCCTCGACCTGCTGCTAGAGTATCGCTTCGACTCTCGATCTCGCGCCGCTCCGTTTTGTCGTCGACTGCTCGCATCGATCGTATCGATCACGTTACGCGGCACGCGACCGTCAAAAGTGGCGCAACACGACCGCACACAGCTCCTCGCAAATTCTTTCGTCCCAGTGGTTTAGTATGGGGAAAAGCGATAGAGCGACAAACAACAACGACGACGACGACAACGACGATTGAGAAAGGACACGAGTTGAACGCTTATTCGATGGGAAAAATCGTCGCGGCGAGTGGTCGTGCACGAGTGTAGCGAGCGTCGAGAAGAGGTCGAGAGAGAGGAACGACCGACGCGGCGACGGTCGCGTGTTATCGATTCGTGGCCGTGGAAAGCCGGCGAGGCAGTCGAGATAGAGAGAGAGAAAGAGCGAGAGAGAGCTTTTTCTTCGCGTTCTCTCCCTCTTCTCCCCGCTCTCCTGAATCCTCACTCTCTCTCTCTCCCTCCTTCCCTCTCACCCTTCTTTGCGAACCTCGTGCGACGCGGTCACCGTACCAGTCCCACAGTCCGAGAGTAGCCAGTATATAACACCACTCTCCCTCTCTCTCTCTCTCTCTCTCCCTCCCTCCCTTTCTCTCTATCTCTCTCTCTTGTATCCGTAAATCGTACGATCGAGTATTGCCTCCAACCGATGATCCTGTCCTGTGTGTTATTTACGACAGATCGAGACTAGCTCTGTGTGTTACGCTATCAACGGCGACAACGTGCGTACCGATATGACGCGTACGTACTACGGAAGACAGGACGCGTCTCCCTCGAACGTCCGGGTCGGACTGAGCGTGGCAGGGCGAACTGGAGACCCATGGAGTCGTTCGAGGTACCGACTACCCCCACCCGGAGGAGCCACGCTTCGGCTTTCCCAACCCTCGTCAACCGCCTTCCCCTCGCAAACCCCATCCGAACCTAGCGATGGCCATTCGATATTCTCTATGTCGCAAGTTTTCGAGCAATTTACTAGTACGAATGTTCGAATCGCTTCGAGCACTAGTCGAGTTTAAGTCTCTCCAACGGGATCGTCGATCTACGGGAATTTAAAACACTCGAACGTCTCCGAAAACCGATAATTTTTCAAGCTTTATACACGAAGTAGCTTATTCTTTTTGTTGAAAAGACACTATCGTTATAATAGTTCTAAGCTATGCGCGCACACTAGAGAACACCACTGTCGCGCTACAGTTTTGTCGCTTTCGCTCGCATCGATTGAAAGTTCGATTTCTTCCTTCGATTTTAATAACAAAACAGTCGTTCTGCAGTCGCGTCAATCCGCCTACATTGTCGCTCGACAAATTGTCGATAGTGCGAACATAGCCTAATGGATTATGTCCATTATACACGTTTATTATTAACAAAGGTTAGGATTAAAGTTATCATCGAAACATTCGAAGATTCCGAAAATCTTTACGGTTTTTAAATATTTCATTATTTTTAACAGAGTATTTATATTATATAGTATCTTGAATATTCTAAAAATTTTTGGAATTAAAGTAACACTTCCAATTTAAAATTTCTATCGGATGTTCAAAACCACTCGAACTCGCTTAAACACATCGCTACAGGCATTCTATTCTTCTATGTTGTCCTTTTCTCTTTTCCTCCAGCTTCTGCTTTCCTCTCCCTCTCCTTTTATCTCACGATCTTGCTATCCCTACCTACATTTCCCTACCCTTGCGCGTTGCTTCGTCCCTCTTTTCCGTCGCTTTCTCCTTCCCTCTCTCACTGCTACTCTCCCGAACACTGGCGTACACTCTTGGTGCTGGCACCCCCCCGCCTTCTCTCTTCTCTACCAACCGTACTCCGTCCCATTCCCATGCTTCGGTCCTCGTCGTGGCACCTTTCGTCCTCTACTTCGGGGGTTTAAGGCCCGTTCAGTCTCAATGTTTTCAATTTTTTTTATTGATTTCGTTTAAAACAACACCTATTTTCCCCACATGTAGGCGCGTAGCTGCCTATGTTTTCTTTCATTTGGAGAGGTTAACTTTTGGTTTCGCGCAATACAGGAGCAAATTTTTATACTTTCAAAGAAACGTTTTGAGGAATTTGCATTACGCAATTAGAAATGTTGATGCGATTCTGTTAATCAGAAAGATTCGTACGTTTTCACCGTGGCGATTGAAATTTCAGTGATAAATTTTAATCTTCGTCGTACCGCGTTACTTATGCAGTCGGTATACCGTATTTTGTGTCGTCGTTTAAACTCGCCACGAAGATCGCGTTTTGGTAGGTTGCCATGGCTTCGCGGATCCGACGCCGACGTTGCTTTTCCTCGTTTCTTTCTTTTTTCATATATTCTGTCACTGATATATCGCGCGTAACCGAATCGCGCAAACTTGATTTATGACGCTCATTGCGCAAGAAAGATAGCCAAGGTAGTATTCCAAGTGACTGCTATGCGAATTCATCTCTTAAACCAGGCTATCAGGGAAACCTAAATTCACCAATCGCGTAATGGAATTTCGTTGGCTGAACGCTAATTACTACCGATACGATTGACCCAGTAGGATCGATTGAAATCAAGTAACTTGGAATAAACAAGAACGAAAGTCTCGGTCACTGTTTCACAATAACGTAGCATTACATGTATATATCATAAAAGCTGCTACATCTCCGTGCAACTGGTTTAATCTGCTATCCGCGTTGCTCCCTGGATCGCTTAATTGCCAAATAAATCTATCTAACTAGACAACTAGCGATAAACTAGCTGTACAATCCTGCATGATACGTGTAACTGGCAATTAAAAGGCAACAGGGACGTTATATTATTAAGCATAGAAAAAGTTAAGGTTCAGCAAGCTACCAGTGTAGCAAGCGACTTTAAAAAGTTTGCCAACGCAAACACTGTCCGTTCACTCCTGCGAGATCTTTTTATATAACGCCTTTATTAATCACATCAATTACATCGTGCTTGGTCGCGTTCAATTTTTTCACCGTTGCATCGTGAAAATCTGGGTACATATCGAATCGCGAGACAAGGAGAGGAGAAAAGGCGTGGTGGGGCGCGGCGCGATAAAGCGAGGAAAAATCAGAACGGCGCTGCGTCGAAAAGAAATGGCTGCGAGGAAGTTTAAAAGGGAACGGCAATTTCGAGGTCAAAGGCTTTGGACAGGAGGATATCGACACACCGTGAGAGGACTGCAGCCGATAGGGTGAAAATACATTGTACGTTCTTATGTGCACCGTAACCGACTCGCCTCACAGCTTTCTCGCTCTCGCGAAATAAAAATTTGAACAGCGTGGCCAGGATTGAAACGGTCTCGCAAATATTCTCGCGATATTCCCTTGTCTCTGGAGATGTCGGCTACCAGCCACTGAACTGTGGACCATTCCCGGCATACCTGACTACAACATACAACCAAACAAATTCCTTTTTCCAACCAAGCTATGTTTTGTTGGGATTTCATAAAGCTTCTTGAAGGATATCTTAAATATCGTCGGACGCGCCGTAACACGGCCATCTGCCCGAGAACTCGGGTTAGCGTGAATTACAATTGACAAATTCCAACGAACTCCATCGACGAGACACGACGTGCATTTTCATCGCATCGAGACGAGAGATATTGCGTGTTTTCGTAAAATATTATCAAATACCATCGTAATTCTTCGGTTCGCTAATAACTGTATTTTATTCACGTAACCTCGTTTGTCCACCTCACGGGCAGACTGGAGTATTTCTTTAATAAAATGTTCCGGAATTTTCCTACGAAGGACGCGCCGGGGGTATATCAGTTCCTTTTCCTATCACATTTAGTGAGATCAAGAATGAATATTTCGTACGACGTGGCACGATACGAGAGGGGAAACTCTTATGCACGACGATGAAAGCCAAAAACGGTAATCCGCTCGTCTCGCTGAAGGGCCAAAGGTTTTCCGCGATCATACGAAAACCTGCCCTAAAGCAACCAGGAACACCGGCCTCCTTGTTTTCTCGACGACGCACCCTTCGCCTTCACCGGCTCTCCTTTTATCAGCCTGCCCGCGAATTCGACGAAAAGGGACAAGGACCCTCTTGGAGCGGTTAAGATATTTCACGTCGGATCACCAGCCTTTCGTTCGATGGTACATCTTGGCTCGCGAAACCGCTTCACGGCCGGTTTAATTCGATCGGACAAATGCAAATGTGGTAAACGTGTGAAACGTTACGGAGCTCGTGTTATCTACGCCCTTTTCAAACCCGATGAACGTTCACTTTATACCCTACAACTTTCGCGTGAATTCGACCGAGGCGTGGATGAAGTAGATTCTTGGCACCGACAAGTCGAGATCGTCCTCGTCGTTATAATGAAGAATTTCCGGGATGGATTCTTAAACACGTAGAAAAGAAAGACGTGAAAAGAACACGCGAGAAATAACACGCGAGAAACCGTTTTCGAAACTGAATATCTCGCGAGTAGAAACGGAACACAGAAACAGGCACATCGCTGCTTCCCAAACTCTGAATTGCGCATGCTGCACGGTGGAAAATTTAAAAGTTTACCAGGCTGCGATGGAACTCCGGAAATAAGAATTTTATGGATTATACAATACAGATGGAGAATTTCGCATTGCCCTGTGTACTGAGTAACACGAAAACTTTCAAAATATTCCAAGAATACATTATCGTGTCATTTCCAAAGTACAATAGGTCCGGCGTACGTACAGAATACAACCGTTTTACCATTCTTACCGCCTCGATATTCTTCCGGTTGCTTTTTCCATTTGAACGATACTGTTCGATTAAGTGATTGATTTAAAGAAGGTGTGATATCAATCGTAAGAATTATACGATATAGGGAGGAATAAAATGTATAATAATTGAGTGTAATCGATAAAACGTAGCCGTGGAAGGATGGTCAGAGGGAACAATAACATAACTGATCCCGTTTCGCGACAGTGACGAATCATCCTCAGTTCCGGGGTCACCGGCAGGGCTGGACAGGCCCCATGGAAAAGAGAATGAAGCTGACGTAGAGGCAGCGCAGGAAACGAAGGTTTTCGGCCGCGTTTGTTCCGGGACTGCCGCAACACGAGTTACGGATAATAACGGCGGGCTATCCAACAGCCACCGGAGTCAAACCGCAACCCCATCAACATACGCCGCACGTACTGTTCGTGCACTTGCATACGTGCAGGTGTAGCTGCAGTTCACCCGACCTAACGTACAACAGAATACTCGAACGATTCTCCTGCGCGTACATAGTGCCGATCGAAAATTTGGCCAGCCGTACGTTCGCATTTTGTGGACTGATCCGAGATGAATTGCGGTATGGTTAATTATTTCTTAATTACGAGTTGTGCCACGAGGAAGAAAGTTCTAAAAATTACTAGGAAAAGGTATGAACTTAAATTGATAATTAAACCAAATTAGTTAGTGTAAAGTCAATGTCATCTTTATATGATAAATCGTGAATCGAGTTTCTAAATGTAGGATTTTACTATCGTTATATTTAACACGTGCGCGTAGTCCGAAGTAGAACGTTGTAAGAAGCACAATATCCATAAGCTTATAACTTGGTTGCATTAATATTTGTGTCCTAAGCTATCCACGGGTACGATGGCTACACGAATGGTT